TTCAAAAATTGTGCTGATAATTGCACAGCTCTGTTGAACTGAATAATTGAATTGTGCACTTACAATGGGTGGATTGTATGGTAAAGACCAAAATATAACTCAAGAAAGCTGTTATGAAACAAGGAAAAATCTTAAAAATAGCCACAGTGCTGTCCTTGGAGATTGTAGTCAAACCATATTAGCAAAACTGTTAGATTTCTCTGGAGCTAGATATACCTCAGTCCTTGGCTCTGTGCGAGAAAGAATTCACGTCAAAGCCTGGTTTGTGATCCAAGTGAGTTTTATGAGCGTTAGAAGTTTCAGGTTTGCACAGGCACCCATAGGACTCCTCCTGAACATGCAGGCTGCTTGGAAGCTGCTCGCAGAGTCATGCAAAAGTGTCATGCTCAACTCTGGGCTCCTGCCTTTTCAAGGATTCCACGGGGAGGCGTGGTAGACCACGCCTGATGGACCCCATTGGCTGAATTGAATTCACCTGGCCTACGTGGGCCAATCCAGGTTCAGCGCCCACCCAGGCCTACCTGGCGGGAAACCTGAACCTCTGAGCATGTGCAATGCACCACTCCTTTGTTTCCGTAACTTGGCCCTCTGGGCATGCGTTAATGGACATCCCCCAGCCATACGCTAGCCTACCTAACAAAACCAGTCTTATAGCTTTTAGGAAGAGCCATTTTTTGTTTTGTGTTTTCCAAAACCATAATACAGATGTCATATCATTCCACAGTTCAATCGCATCAAGAAGTATTGCACAATTGCTACCAAAATCAGTTTCAAAACATTCTCTTCCTTCTTGAACTCCTGGATATCAGCTCCCCTTTACCCTCCCCACCCCCCACTGTAACCCCCAGCAACCCTTATTCTACTTGCTGTCTCTCTAGGTCCATCAATCCGGGGTTTCATATAATGAAAACCAAAAAATATCACAAATAAGAGGGCTACCCACAATAACAAAATACATAAAAGACAAACCCCAATATGAGCAGAAACACACACAGAGAAAATGTTGAAAACCTGATCAGGTCCAACATGTATCAGAGGGTGGATCAACTGACAAGGTTTTAACCATTCGAGTCAGGTTTATCATTTTGATCTCCTATAGTCATCTCTCCAATACATTCTGTTTAGTAACCAGTTTCTTCCCATCCCTCTATTATGGACAGAGGGAAATCACCAGAGGCTTATTTCCTATGTAGTCCCCACAAATGTTTCTTGGGTTCCCACTGCCATCCATAGTATTCAGCAAACAAGGTTCTCACAATTTAGGCTCTGATACTATTCCCTCCTTTGGCTTCAGATAATTTGATTTGCAGTCTTTCAGCCACTGATGTTGGTGTGCTTCTTCTATGTGGACTAGGCTGACATCTCACTTAGATGGCTGCTTGTTTGGAAACAAGCCTTTAGGACCCCAGGCACAGTTTTATCTGCTAGCCGGGCACCATCTAGTTTCTTCACTACACTTTGCTGTAGCAGCCATATTTTCTGTGTTCCCTTCCGGAGGGTGAGTATCCAGCAGGGCCATGATATAAGAACTAATTGTTCTTAAGTTGGAGCTAGAATTTCATGCAAGCCCAAAAGGCAGAGCCATTTTATTATGGGGATGTATTAACTCCATCTCTTCAGTGTACCTCTGCCCACCTCTGAAGGAACTGTGGTTCAAGCATATACTCAGACCCTTACCCTCCCTGCACCCACAGAATGGTGGTTGAAGTAACTGGACCCAATGACTTGACCCCAAATGATGCCACATTGTATCAGAGGATCTAATAAGCCAGTTGCTGTTCAAGTTGACTCAGCATCATGGCGACCCGGTGTATGCCAAGGGGAAACCTGTGTTCCACAAGGTGTTCAATAGCTGGCCTTTCTAAACTAGATCCCCATGCATTTATTTTGAGAGCTGTCAAACCTCCATCCTGTTGGTTAGTAGGCAAGCGCTTAACCATTTGTGCCACCCAGGGACACCTCAAGAGATTCCAGAACTGTGCACAAGGAGAGACAAAAAGCATCAAGGCAGAAACCCTGCTCTTCTCAACTGAACAGAATGGTTCAGAAACTAACAAGTTTAAGTTCCAAAACCTGGATGAAAAAATGTCAGCCTGAATCACACCCATATGCCTTCTGTGCTTAGTCTTTCCTTCATGGTGGACAGAAAGGCCCACACAGGTCTTCCCAGGACACCTTGGCATCACCTGGGCCACTAGCTTCCTTTGCATTTCACCCAGGGAGACCCTTTGACTTTGATCTCTAACACTGTTGTTATTGCCTGTACTCCTCCCTACCCTAACTGACTGTAGGTTACAGTCCTGAGGGTGGGTGATTCTCCCATGTAAAAGTATA